TGAACTGAGTATATTTATGTTTCTCTTTCAAAAAAAGTTTTCTTTAATTTCCACAGCTGTGTCCAAGCTGAAAGTGCGTGTGCTCCACAGTCAGACGGAACCATTGTTGCTCTGGTTTACAAAATTAGAGATTACTCGTACAATATAAAAATAGCTGCCTTCATTTAGCCTCGGAATAGAAAACCAAAAATGGGTAGGTTTTTTAACACACCCAGCAGCTCTGTGTATATAAGTGTATATGTGTGTGTTTCTTTTATCGCTTGAGACTTTTCTTGAAATGACTGGATTTATTTTGGTGCTGGGCTGAATCATGTCTGCGAAGTGTTCCAGCCACAGTCGGACAACACTGGTCTCTACAACACCAAGAGGATTTTTATGGGCCAAAATGTGCTTGTTAATTTTCAGCAGATGTTTCTTTTGTTTTATGAACGGAGATAAAACAACACGAGGCTGCGCTGCTTGTGTTATTTTAGGTCCATAAGACAGAGATTCAAAATGGAAACAAAAATGGCTTCTAACTTAAATCACTGATTGTGTGTTAACCTCAACAGTTAGTTTTTAAAGATACACTAGGAAAGTGTTTGTCAGAATGTCACTTGTTTCCAATGATGCCGTTTGCCCCTGATCTTATCTACAACCCTCCCACGCCTTCATTTGTTTTTTAAAACAAGTATAAAGGAAAGAAATCCCTTCATGTATGATGTTTAAAAGAATCTGCATCTGTTGGTGGACGCCAACACACACTCCAATGTTTTTGTGCTGTGTGTACAGAATGTACTGCACATAGAGTACAAAGAGTGACAATTATCATTGCATCTGAACAAATAATCTGCAGAAAACAGCTTGCATTAGTCAGATGATTAGATCACTGACGTCATTGGTGGAATTCACACTTGTTGATGATTCAGGAGAGTAAAATGTCTACGTGATGAGGTGCAGCGTCTGAAAGACTTCAGGGCCTAAGAGATAATCTGAGATATTTCCACAAATAATAAATTAAAAGATTACATTGATTATAAAAAGATTCCCGTCATTTGATATCAAATTATTTATCTATGCAAACAGCATCATCTCTTTCACAACGTATACCAGAGGATAAGGCAGAATATGACTGAATGAATATGAATATTTGTGCTAATATGTGTGTTCCATGTGACTCGCATCATCTACAGAAAACACCTTCTGAAATCAATCATGGAGATTTTATTAGCACCGTTTTTTACATGTACTTTAAGCCTAGAAGCCCAAAATAATGCCAGAGAAGAATTCAGCTTCTCTGAGGAGAAGAAACACTCTGGTGTGTAGATTTTGGCCTGTCTTTTCCCACTGATCACTTGGTCTCCAGCCGCTCACTTGGTCTCCAGCCGCTCACGCTGCAGCATCTCATTTACAAAACTATATGTTTGTGCAGATTAGAGGGATTCCTCCATTTTCAAAAATGGTCCGTATGTGAAGTTGTTATGAAAGATACCACGCAGCATTGTGGGTTCAAAGTTGTCTCGTGTGTCACCTCATCATCTCGCTCCACTCCGGGCGTCTGTGGCTCATGATATACGGTAAAGAAAAAAAGCCATAAAAGTCATATTTGGAGAAGAACATGATCTGTGCTGAGACTTGGCTTCTGCACGTTGTTGGATAGTGGAGAATGTTTTGGTTAGTTTAGTTGTGTCATAAATAACACCAGGGTGAATAGTATTCTTGTCATGGTGTGTGGGGAGGGTCGGTTGATTTGTAATTAAATTCACTTTTCTCTCGCAGTTTAAGTGTTATCACAGACCTTGGTGATGAATTCAGAGTCGACAGGAAAAGTTAATCATCGTGGGAGCGTTGTTGCTTAGTGTGGTGGGAATTTAAAAAAAGACAAAAAGGAAAAATAATAGAATTTGGACGTTTAACTTCAATAAGACAAAACTTAAATGGACTGAAGCAAAATGCACTTAAAGTAATGTGAGACATTTTATAAGATCTGAATAAAGGGGCATATCCAGGAATTTTTTGCATCTCGTTTTAACATTGTGAGACCATTTAATTTTGTTGGTTTCTTTGGTTTCTTTGATATTTACACAGGGGAATAATTCACAGATCGTAATCAGACATATTGAGGTGACTGATATCTATAAGTGGTTTAAATTTGATGCGGCCTGGTCCTCAAATAACCAGAGTCAGTGGTTCAATGCCCAGCTCCTCCAGTCTGTGTCTTTGAGCAGGAATGGGTGATGGCGCCTAGTACTGTTGAAAGTTTTAAATGGTCAATACATTTACCATTTTAGTTACAGGTGCATTAATGTGTAAATAGCATTTCACTATTGTAGCTTACAAAATATCTTATGCACTGTTCTATAGTTGAATCTACATATTCTACAACATCATCATATGTTTTGTATGTAAAATAATATTGAATTCTTATTAGCTAATAAATGTGTTGAAATAAAAACATTTCTCTAATGGTCACGTAGCAGCAGAATAAAATGCTTCCTTTACTACCTCAGATTATACATTTGATGTTGTATGGTAAACCAACATGAGCCATAATTTGACAACATGCATGAGCAGAGTGTGTCTGGGGTCTGGGGTCTTTGTTGTGGTGCGACAGGGGTCAAGTCACAGCGGCGTCTCATATCTTGTGGCATCAATGCGTCTCAGCTTTGTTGTCCACTGCGGATGTGGGCAGCATCACAGGTGTGTGGCCAGGAAACTGAGGTTTTCATTCAAAATATGCAGGTTTGATGTTTCATCCATTTTTGTGCATATTCCACTCACATAGAAATTGGAAATTGATGGAGGACGATGACACAGTGAGGATTGGCTCAACAAATATGTCTACGTGTGCTACCCACATTATCTCTTCTCTGTGGGTTGACGTGTGTTAACGGTTCATGAACGCTGTCATTTTCAGTTTTTGAACTACAACAGACATTTTCCTTATAACTTTTCCACTCTGAAGTCAAAACCTGCTTCACTTTATCTGTACATCTTCACTTCAGCTCAACTTAAGTTATTCTATCAACACAGTGTGTGAACTCTCAGAGAAGCTGTCCTGCAGCAAAAGATCAATGTACAAACTCGTGTTTCTGACGCAGAGGGAACATTCTCGAACCAAAAAGCACCTGTTCAACGTAAAAGAGCGAGATGCTGGAGAAAGGAGGCTGTGAGGGCGGACTGTGACTTCCTGTTGTGGCTTCTGTCACCAGCGTCTACATTTGCAAACTTCATGTAGTCTCAGAGTGTGGGTGCTTCTCACTAAATATCTCATCCCAGCGCATGAAACCTCACAGCTCGTCAGTGTAGAGGACAAAACATCATCCTGTAGTTTGTCCTGGTAAAAACGTAGAAGAGGAGGTGAGGATCTCAAAATACTTTTTGTAGCATCTAATTTGGGATTTTAACAAGAAATGTATGTTTTCACCCCTGTGCGTTTGTAGGTTGGATTGAATGTTTGCGAATAATTCAGGATTTAGTGAATTTAAAGAGGGGCCTTGGTGGAGGTGTGTGCTCTCTGAGTGACATTCTAGTTTTCTTATTGTTGCGTAATAGCAGTTTGCCAAAAGGCAAAAAGGTCAGTGGTCACAGACTGGATTCAAACCTGTGTACTGGTCACACACTGCTCTTCCGTATCAGCTTATTCCTTTAACATTCACATTTGTTTATATGCTGATTTTTTCCATCTTTTTCTCTCTGGTTCTCTAGTTTCTCTCCACCATCTTCATCCAGGACATTGAGTTTAAGTCCAGCTGAAGTCTAACCATGTCCATCGACCCTGCGGCCGAGCTGCCCTTCTTCTACGGCAGCATCAGTCGCTCAGACGCCGAGCAGCACCTGAAACTGGCTGGGATGGCCGACGGTCTCTTCTTGCTCCGGCAGTGTCTCCGCAGTCTGGGTGGCTACGTCCTGTCTCTGGCGTGGACCGTCGAGTTTCACCACTACTCCATAGAGAAGCAGCTGAACGGGACGTACTGCATCGTAGGAGGGAAGCCCCACTGTGGGCCTGCAGAGCTCTGTGAGTTCTACAGCAAGGATGCTGACGGGCTGGTGTGCGCCCTGAGGAAACCCTGTCTGCGCTCTCCAGATATGCCGATACAGCTCGGCGTGTTCGACAGCCTAAGAGAAAACATGCTGAGGGAGTATGTGAAGCAGACCTGGAACCTGGAGGTGAGGCTAAAGTGATGGTTTCTCAGTTATTTCCACTTCACACACCGCTACACCATTGAGGTTCAGCCCCTGCCCATTGGCTTGTTTGTTTGTTTGTTCACAAAGTTAGATAGAAACTACTCAATGGATTTCCACACATTTTGTTGGAGGGATGGGACATAGGCCAATAAAGAACTGATTCAATGTTGGTTTGTGGCGGTGCATCCAGAATGTTTATATCACTTTCTTTAAGATAGGTGTATTTTGACATTCTGACTTATTCCCCAGAGAATAGTTTATGGATCTTGATGAAAGAAATCAGGCTCATTCGTGGATTTATTATTTATTTTTTAAATGTCCCCATCACTTTGGAAACTCCTCAGGGGACAACGGTACATAGACCCACTGAAAACTATTCAAAGGGAGGTAAACACAATATGTGAGTACAATTTGTGTGAAAGAGCTTTGACTGAGGAGACTGAACCAAATATTTTGCAGGTATTACTTAATATATTTGTAAATATGGAAGTAACATCTTGATACATACACAGGGCACCATAATAATTCAAATGGGTGTCGCCTTTTTGTGTCTGACTCTCTGTTCAGGGAGAAGCCATGGAACAGGCCATCATCAGCCAAGCTCCTCAGCTGGAGAAGCTGATCGCCACTACAGCCCACGAGAGGATGCCTTGGTATCATGGTAAAATCGCCCGGCAGGAAGGAGAGAGGCGGCTGTACTCTGGTGCACAACCGGACGGAAAGTTTCTGTAAGTCGCTGTGAGGTGATATTGTCAAATCACTTTTTTGCCTCTGATTGTTTTTTTATGTCAAAGGTCCTCTGAGGTTTTAGGTTGTTTTGTGTTTGTCAGAGTGCGAGACAGAGATGATTCTGGGACTTTTGCACTCTCAATGATATATGGGAAAACAGTTTACCACTATCAGATACTCCAGGAAAAATCTGGTAAATTCTCCATGCCAGAGGGAACAAAGTTTGACACGATCTGGCAGGTAAATGCTCTATTGCTCCTTATATGTTGCAGCTGATGTTCTTTTTTAGATTCAAATTTAAACCCATCTCAATCTCACCAGCTGGTCGAGTACCTGAAGATGAAACCTGACGGCCTGGTGACGGTTCTCGTAGAGGCGTGCCTCAACGGCAAAGCTGGCGCAAGTACATAACATTTTATGTTATTATTTCATTTTCTGAATTAGATTTATAAAAACCCACTGAGTTTCCAGTTCATTTGAAAGATTCAACAATTTAAATAATTTATAATTGATATTGTTCATACAACGTTTTGTCTTGTTACTTTGCAGAGATACCAAGTCTTCCTGCAACAGTGAGTATCAACAACTTACTGCATCATTATTATTATCATTATTGGTATTATTATCAGTATTATTATTATTATTATTGTTATTATTATTGTTTTTATTATCAGTAGTAGTAGTATTGTTATTATTATTATTATTATTGTTGTTATTAGTTGTATTGTTATTATTATTATTATTATTGTTGTTGTTGTTATTAGTAGAAGTAGTATTGTTATTATTATTATTATTATCTGAGATTTGTACTGTGACATTTTCAGAGACGTGCAAATGGATACACACCGCCACCTCGAGGTCAGTCTTGTGAAGTACCACCAGTAAAATTCACTTCCTGCATCACAGTTTTCAGACAAACAATGAGCTGCTCTGTTACATGAATTTTAAAAGGTTTATTGTATATTTCCGCAGCATTAATGTATGAGAAACAATTTAGCTGAATCGTGTGAAATTAATATTGAGTATTTTATTTATTCTTGGGTGTTCTAATTCAAAACGCTGCATCATATTTTACACATTAATTATATGTTGTGTGTGTAAAGTAAAGTAGTGGAGGGATTAAAATGGGATTAAGTACAATAATCTTGAAATTCTGAGTGCTGTGTTTGATTAAATGTATTCAGCTCTATAATTCGAATTTTAAAAGGAGCTTAAAAGATGCCATCTGTTTAACAGTGTGCACGGGACATGTGAAAACCTGCCAGCAGATTAACATCAAAACCTGCTGGATTGTGCTTTTCCCACATGTGGTTTGTATCTTCATCCCACAGTGGTTGCAGCGGCCTCCAACTCAGCTGCAGAGCGGGATCTTCTACCTATGGACTGCACTGGGTTCAACGCGTACCACAACCCGAACGACTTGAAGAAGTTTGACATCAAGAGGAGTCAGCTGCTGATGGACGAGGTGGAGCTCGGCTCTGGGAACTTTGGCTGCGTCAAGAAGGGAGTTCTCAAGACTGAGGCGTGAGGACTGAATCATTATAAAACAAAGATATGAGAAGATAGAAACTGTAAAATAAACTAATGAGACATAGGCTATTGTATGATGTATGCACGTGATATCATGTCTTTACCCAAACCAAAGTTTACAACGTTCATTTTGATTTTTTCCGGTCAGTGGTCAGATCGACGTGGCCATCAAAGTGCTGAAGAATGAGAATGAGAAGCTGGTGAAGGAGGAGATGATGAGGGAAGCCGAGATCATGCACCAGCTGAACAACCCCTTCATCGTCAGGATGCTCGGCCTCTGCAACGCTGAGAGCCTCATGCTGGTCATGGAGATGGCTTCTGCTGGACCCCTCAACAAATACCTTAGCAGCAACAAGTGAGATCAATCAGACTCTGTTTCATTTGAAGCAACTAAAGAATCCAGGTATTCACAAGAAGAGAAAACATTTAGACATAAATTAGGAAGAAATATACAGAACGGTCTTAATCTTCTATCACTGTGTGACTCCTCAGACTTATGTAAGTTGGGAACTAGCGATATACAACATCCTTAGAATCATGATTTGTAAAATTGACTTCATCTTATTTTCATGTTATCCACAGGGATACTGTAACTGCAGAGACCATTGTCAACCTGATGCACCAGGTGTCGATGGGGATGAAGTATCTGGAGGAGAAGAACTTTGTGCACAGAGATTTGGCAGCTCGTAACGTCCTGCTGGTCACACAACAGTTTGCCAAAATCAGTGATTTTGGACTCTCAAAGGCCCTGGGAGCAGATGACAACTACTACAAGGTCCTCGTGATGTGACAAAATGTTCTTAAAGTAGTCGCACTGCAAAACTAAAGTGACGTAAATGCAGAATAACCAAAGGATCAGGGTGTGAGAGGACATCAGTGTTGCGGCTAATACAAATAGATAGTTTTGTTTGATTACTTTTCTGGGAAGACGTCACGTTTCACAAATACTACCTCTACATTATCATCCTCAGCACATGCTTCTGGCCGTGGGTCAATTAATTGACTTAAAGAATGTTGCAAGCTGCCTTTTGGTGACTCATTGACAAGCTGCTCACTGTCACACATTTTGTGTTGCACAGGCTCGCACTGCAGGTAAATGGCCCCTGAAGTGGTACGCTCCAGAGTGTATTAACTTCCACAAATTCTCCAGTAAAAGTGACGTGTGGAGTTTTGGTGTCACCATGTGGGAGGCCTTCTCCTATGGAGGGAAGCCTTACAAGGTAAAATACTGTATACATTAACTTCATCACAGTATTCACACTCATGCAGGATCAGGATCTGTCCTGAATGTCACCTCCCCTCTTTTCTCTTTTTTAACTTTGTCCAGAAAATGAAAGGACCGGAGGTGACACGTTTGATTGAGAGTGGAAGCCGGATGGACTGTCCAGTGGCGTGTCCAGAGCGAATGTATACACTGATGAAAGAGTGCTGGACGTACAAGTGAGAAACTCATCTGACTGAATGTTGTGCATGTGTTAGATAGTTGATCTTGTGAGTCCCATTGAAATCAAAATCCCTTTTGCAAGAGAGCGCTGAGGATAAATTACACACATACCATACATGCAGTGATGTAACCTATCCTGTGATCTGGTGTCATGTTTATTTTTATTTAACACTCTAGTGGAAGAAGTAGAGCAGGTAATCCACGAACCAAAAGGTTGGTGGTTCAATTGCATTCCCCACTATTATGCGTGCCAAAGTGCCATTGGGCAGGATACTGCACCATAAATTGGCCCTGACGACTAGTCATTGATGTTTGGGAGAGAAATGAATGTGTGTCAATGGTAAAACTGTACTATAAAGTGCTTTGAGTGGTCATCAAGACTAAAACAACTTATATCTTTATAAATAGAGATCCATTTACCATTTAGACAACAAAGTGTCTTTCACTCTACAGCTCTTGTGACTTTTGATCTTCCATTAGTCACAACCTTTCTAACGGCTGTTCTCCTCCTCACCAGGCACGAAGAGCGTCCAGACTTCAAGAAGGTTGAGGAGTCCATGAGGTTGTACCATTACTCCATTTCCAACAAGGCCAAGCCTGAGGGAGCCACAGCCACTGCAGAGCCTGTCAAGTAGACAAGAAACAAGCCACATTCTGTTCCAGCGCTGCACAAAGCCTCCTTTCAGCTGGCCATTAAACAACCAAAACAAAGAGCTTTTTATGAACGGGCCACACTGACCAGCTTCAACTACTGTACCCATACAGCTAAACAGGCCCAAGTGACAATAAATGTGCATTTGTATATTAAACCTCAGTGGGTCGGCCATGTGAGGAGGGTCTCTGTCTGTCTGTAGCGGTTTGAATGTTCAGTGTCGACGTCCTCACGTTTAAAATGTATTTTTATATTCTGAGTGTAATGAGAGCAAATGGTACAAGTTGTTTTTTCATTGTAACCTGCCACCACTTCAATGCTGGGATATCAACATTTCTGTGAAGTCAGCGATACAAAGTCAAAGTTTGATTTACTACCACACAAAGTTTCTGAAAAAGGAAAAAGGAGCATTACCATCATATAGGTCGACTATGTGGGATATTTGATTTAGAGATACAGCAGAGTAATTCCAATAGACTGTATATAACAATGCAATGATATAATCATCAATTACTGGTGAGGTCAAAGATGACAGTTGTGACAGAAATGTGTGGCAAATAATCATTAAGAGGATTACACAGCTGACCTTCAGACCCGGGCATCCACGGCTCGACCTAAACTATTCTTCAAAAACAGAAAGTCTTACATTGAACAGCAGCACAGTTTTTGGTGTGTTAAGAAGGGTTATTATAGCCAATGACTTTTTTAAATAGCACCACATAAACAAATAGTCCGAAATAACCAGTAGTTTAAATTGGCCTTATGTGCAGAGATACATTTTAGGTTAAAGGTCAATAGCTTTAGAACCTTTAATTGTTCAGGAACCAGATGTTGGCTTTGGTTTTCCAATTGGTAATTCAAACATGATATTGTGGTTCATAGTAACTGCGTTATTAAATAAATGGGATTAGTCAGGCTGCCCCCTGCCAAAGGAAGTAACTCTGAGCTGCCAGGCAACACCGAGGGCCACACAACACAGGAAGTTCATCAAATAGTCTTCAAAATAAAGGCCTCAAAGTTTTCACATAAACCAATTGACCCATTTGTGTGGTTCTGACGAAACGTACTGCTGGATTTAGTATGTATCTGTATTCAAAGTTTTAATAAAGTAAGAGTAAAGAAGTATAAGCAGCAAAATGTATACAGGTAATCAATGTGATATATAAAGGAACAGCTCAAAATTATATCACATCTCACATTTGGGAGATTCAAGGAAACATGTAATCACATTATTACACATTGGTTAGCGAACAATCCACTTTTTCCTCAGCCACAGCCACCCCAATGGGATGTTGGCAGTTCTATACATGTGCACGATAAAAACATATTATGTTATTGTGCGGTTTGTCCCTATTGTCTTATAATACGTGTTTAAAGTATAAAGTTATATAAAGTGTGAAAATAATAAATAAAACCAGTCACGTTGTTTGAAACAAATTTGTGTTTGATCATATTTCAAATTTTTTGTGTGACGTTCATAGTAACAGAAGATGATTATTTTGAAGGTTGCCACCGGAAGTGTGTGTCAGTGCCTGAGGTTTGACTGTGGTTGCACTTTTCGTTCCGCAGGGAGGAGTCCTCCGTTAGTTTCTGTAGGAAAGTGGCGTGTTTATAGAATTATCAGTGATTCCACGACATGTACGGCGCCATGTGTCCATAATGTAGTCCGTGTGAGCTGCCTCCGTGAAGCTATCGATCAGTGACCGGGCGATAATCGATCAAACACCGAAGGAAACTGACGGAACAGGAAGGCGGAACAAGTAAGTTCTCGGGAAAGTGGCTTTGATCTGAGCGGTTTGATCAGCGTCTGATGACCTGTCTGTAACACCGACGAGTTTATTTCACATAAGCTGTGATTCAATATAAGAACCGTGGGGTCATTTCGTCCTGTTTGTGTTTTTAAGTTTCAGGAAGCAACAAGTCGGAGTTAGCTCGAACCGTCCGTCCGTTACCAGTAAACTTACAGTCGTCATGTGCCCCCGCTCTTTTAATCTGCGGCTCTTGTTTTGCAAAATGCGACAAAGAAACGACCTCAAAGTTCGTGTTGAAGACGGAGGTGTGAGTGTTAGGATGGAGGTGTGAGGGACCCGGGAGATGATGTTAACACCCGGTCAGAGCTCGTTTTATTGTCATTCCGCGGATTCCTGTCGGTGAATGAGAGTCAGAAGTCGGAAGCGAGTCTGTGCTGTGTGACGGTGAATGAGGCCCTTTGTGTTGACACTGCTGAGACTTGTACCTGAGCTCATGATCAAAGGCATGAAGTCTGTGGTCCTGAATCAGCCTCCTCACACAAACATGGACTGATTCAACTGTATTCATGATCTGATCACCCACACATGTCTCCACTCAAACACCTACTGATGGTGTTTTACCTGGATATGACATCTTTGATTTTCAACGCGTCACAGGGCTTGGTGGTAATCATTAATTCAATGTCAGTATCACATACACTGAAAACAGAGAATTATTGGAGCAACCCTTCAATCAGTAATACACAAATGAACTAGTTTGACTAACTCAAAGTCACAGTTGCGATCTTTCATTTGAAAGAACCAAATTCATTTGTGTATTAGGTCATTTTTTAAATTGGTAGCAAATGTAGTAGCAAAAAACTATCAATTTAAAAGCAGTTGGTAAAAGTACGTTTGCAGACAAGATTTAAAGATACAGTTTGTAATATTTAGTGACATCTAGTGGAGAAGTTCCATGTTGCAGCTGCATATCCCTCACCTCACCCTCCTCTTCAAAACATTAAGAAGAACCTTTGGTAGCCTTCAGTTGGCAGCATCTGCAGAGAGGAGCTGCTCCTGATGTAGATATAAGCTATTTAAATAGAAAGGGCCATTCTAAGGTCAAGAAAACAACAAGTTTAGATGAAACATACTTGTGAAAACATCACTAGGATTAGTTAATATTACATTTCTGCCAATTTCACCTATATCTTAGACATTTGACTTTTATGTGATGTTTTACTGTAACTTTATAATGTGACATTTATCATGATATTTATCAATAATTACTGATAGTATAAATCTTGAAAAGTTTTGAAAGTCTTGAAAGTTTTGGTCACAGAGCCCAGCAACAACGCCATACCACAAGATGAATTCATTTGAATTCACATCAGCCTAAGAAGGTGGATAAGGAGCTTAAACGTCACCACATCCGTGCAAGTTTAGACCCAAGACAATTTAAACTGGACCAAATATGCGATTATTTTCTTCCATAATAAATCTGCTGAGGATTTTGTTGTTGAGTTTAAAAACCTAACATGCCAAAAAATGAAGTGAAGTCTTCTGATGTCTTTTTTTCTAATATTTACTTTGTAATGACATAAAACAGAGAAAACATGAAATACTCACATTGAAGTTGGAGGAGCAATATTTTTTCTAGCATTCCTAATGATTTTCTAGCTCCAGTGATAAATCAATAATCAGAATAGTGGTAGATTAATCTTCTGTTAATAGAATAATTCATGATTTAGTTAATAATTTCAGTGGAGTGCAACTTTCAAGTCAACTCTGATGTATTACATGTTAACTATGCATGCCAGAATCTAATAAACCTGAACTTATCAATTAAAAAAATCTGAAGATTTATAGTTATTGAAAAATATTGTTAGCCCTAGACTGTAATATTTGGTTACATGTTTTTTTGACAGAAACTATGCATTTCAATGCAGGCGTACATTCATTAACCAAACTCTGTCCCTTTCTTTCTATCTGCTTCTTCTACTTTTACGCAGGATCACAGAACCACAAACGGACTCCGTCCATAACAAAACTCTTCACTGGTTATTTACTCGACCCTTTGACCCTGACAGTAAATAATTCACTTGAAGCGTTCAAACAAATCACCAGCCGCTGTAGCCGCCACATATAACCATGTCCATGGCGCTGAAACAAGTCTTCAACAAAGACAGGACATTCCGGCCCAAGCGTAAGTTTGAGCCCGGGACGCAGCGCTTCGATCTGCACAAGAAGGCCCAGGCCTCACTGAACGCCGGGCTGGACCTGAAGCAGGCTGTGCAGCTGCCCCACGGCGAGGACCTCAACGACTGGGTGGCAGTCCACGTGGTCGACTTTTTCAACCGCATCAACCTCATCTACGGCACCATTAGCGACTCCTGCACCGACCAAACCTGCCCCGTCATGTCCGGCGGGCCCAAGTACGAATATCGTTGGCAGGACGAGCACAAGTACAAGAGGCCGACCGCACTGTCGGCCCCCAAGTACATGAGCCTGCTCATGGATTGGATCGAGGTACAGATCAACAATGAAAACATCTTCCCCACCAACGTCGGTAAGTGCTGCGATTAGACACAGACAGTACGTCAAGACTCAGAATTAGGTCAGTAACTGAGATTTAGATTTTTTCTTAGCTTTGCAGAAGTTCAAGAAATCCAAAGATCAAAGTCAAAATGATTCAAGTAGTGAACAAACCAAGTCTCCACCCATTCAAAGACTCAGTCCACAGACATAAGAAACAGGGCTGTGACCTGTCACAAAGATGTTCCTCATAGAGGAAAGTAGATACAAACATATTTATAATACCACATCATTTTTTGGTCTTCTAAAATACTGAATTATTTTAGTTTTTGGAAAGTGAGCCCTTAAATTTTCACTCATTGACACAGTAGACATATGTAATGTGACCATGGGTTGCAATTAGAAGAGTCATAAGCTGCAAAAGTAGGAAACTCGTGTTGTAACATGCACTCGCGCTGTATTTTTAATAAATGACCTGAATGAGGTTCTGTCCTTTCAGCATGAGTCACATGAAAAAAAGGCATGAAAGCATCTAAAATCCGAAGCCGCTGTTTCTCAGCTACCAGACAACAAAGTGATGTTTTAGATGAAATCTGCAAGGCCACATTTATCAGATCACCTTCAGAGTTGCACATTGTACACATTGTCAGTTTATCTCCTCTTACTGTGGCATAATGGGTATCTTCCTATCATCTCAGATTGTTGCGTCATCCATGTGTAGACTGAGTGATATGTGCCACGGCTCGGCATTTGACTAAGTACAGAAACATCCCAGCAATGGATTTAAAAATGGGCCACATAATTTACAGTGGGCTATGAATAGACACGACCTTTGCTGCATGTGTCCTCTGGAGCAGATTCCTGAAATATTATTGAATTAGTCAAAGCAAAACAAGACACTAAATTAATCACATGATCTGAGGATTATGCCTCCCCCCATTCAAGTCCTGTTGGTTTCCATTAATATATGAAATGCCTCCATCCTTAAGTATGTTGTTTTCCGTCTCCAGAGCTCAATAACACATGATGACTCAGGTGTTAAAGATCCATATATAACTTTAACCTTGACTTAAACTGATGTAGTCCCTAAGTAACATGTAATGAATATGTAGTTGTGTTTATGTGAGTTTGTTTGAATATGTGTTCCCATAACAACATTTCCAAAATGGGTGTGCGCATGATGGCACATGTGACTGAAGCAGCTATTTCTAAAAAGCTTGTTTTTGTCACTAAAGGTAAGTTTGAATCTGTTTAGCGTAAATGCTTCAATTAAATGTCCTATATTCCATTTAACATCTTCTGACCAACATCTTAAATCATCGAGACATGGAGCCTCAAACAAAAATCATGTGACCTCTTTGTCGCAATAAGAAAAATGAGCAACTTATTTAATGGATTCAATTATGTTGTATTAATATATTCCTGTTTTTTTAATCCAAGCAAGTTTAAAATAACATAACCAAATCATCATGGTCTAGACAGTAAAAGGTCAGAGGGGATTGACCTCTGTGTTCTCATGTCTCCATCTGTTTGACTCCCAGGTACTCCCTTCCCTAAGACCTTCATGCAGGTGGCTAAGAAGATTTTGTCTCGTCTGTTCCGGGTGTTTGTCCACGTCTACATCCACCACTTTGACCGTGTGAGCCAGATGGGGGCCGAGGCTCATGTCAATACCTGCTACAAGCATTTCTATTACTTTGTCACTGAGTTCAACCTGACTGACCACAAAGAGCTGGAGCCTCTGGTGAGTTTATGTTAAATGAATGTGGAAATATAAATGTTTAACCCTGGAAGTAGCTGCAGCAGTGTTGAAATAAAGAGGAGACATGAGGATCCAACAAAGGTTGATAGATATTTTACTGAAGAAATGAGTTGTGTCAGATAAAGACCTGACAATGCACATATATGAAATGACCAAACTGAAGTACAGCATTAAAAAGAAGACTAATCTGAGGGGAGGAGCCTCACCCATACTGGATTACTGAGGCTAATATCAATATTTGTTTGTATCAACTAACTTTGTATTTATTAAACATTTTTTACTTGAACACATATATAAAACATAACATATAAGAATATCTTTCTAGTCTATCTAGTTTTAGAACTGCTACCAATTTGCTGTACTTAAAGAGTGGTACATACAAAAA